AGTAGGAAAACATTTCGAATTGAAAATTTGAAAGATTTTGAAACTAGTATAAGTATCATAAAGAGTTGTTTTCAATAAAATATAGAAGTATGATTTTGTAATATATTAGTAGCGAACATATTAGAATTAATTTTCAACAATCATATATCATAGAATATTAACAATATTATGGCAACAATTTATAACAGTACGCTATATGAAATCAATAGCTAGTTTAATTATTGATATGTCCTACTATCTATTAAATGCTTTAGAGGTACTGTGCAGCTAACTTCATGTACTTGCATGTCCTGTCTCAGACTGATCTGTAAGGTGCTACGAAGGACAGGATGTTGTCAAGACTAAGTTTTCGTACTGGTAGGATAAAATTATAAGTAAAATAAATATCAATTATTACATTGCAAAAGTTTTTATATTTCGTTACTTGTATTTATTTTCAGCATAATATTTCTGTCATTGTCACTTAAATGTCGATTATTCTATTACCATTATGTAACGATGTAATGTTACTTTCATAGTATTTTGCTTTTAAGATATATCATGTGAATTTGATTATTGAAATTATAAATTAAAAAGTATGTTACATAAAAATGATAATAAAAATTCATATTTGACAGTGTGGGCTGTAATTGACTTTTTCTGGTTAATATCTAAAATTCAATAGTGTACGCAGGAAAATTTTTTTAAACTTTTTTATTTTCTTGTTCTTGTAATTTATTTTATAGTCCCTCTTCAACTGAAGGCTGCAGGTACTTGTGGAATTCAGACAACTGCAGCAGTATCTAATGTACCACGTCCAAAGCGTCCCATAGAAGCACCTCCAGTTAAACTTGGATTTATTCCACAGGAATGGTTTCAATTTTTTTATCCTAAAACTGGTGTAACAGGTAAATTGGTAATTTATAATATGTATATTTACTTATCTTTCTATTTTAAGGAAAGATATAAACTTTAATTATTTATAAAATGTTCTTTTTCATTTATATTTAGGTCCATATGTATTTCTGACATCTGTATCAACATTTCTCGTGTCCAAAGAATTTTATGTTCTGGAACATGAATTTTATAATGGCCTTTCCTTGCTGTTCATTATTATGTATGTTCAATATAAATATGGACCGCAGATTGCGAAATTTCTAGATAAAAAAGTTGATGAATTTGAGGAAGAGATGAATTCTAATAAAGAAGCAATTATCACACGTTGTCAGAATGGAATTAATGAGATGGAAAAAGAAAAATGGCGTACAGAAGGACAATTGATGATTTATGATATAAAAAAACAAAATGTTTTAATGCAATTAGAAGCTAATTATAGGGAACGATTGGCAATAGTTTATTAGGTTAAGAAACGTCTTGATTACCATGCCCAGTTACAAAGTATAGAACACAGAATTGCTCAAAAGCACATGGTTCAATGGATTACAAGCAATGTATTAAAAGCCATTACACCAGAACAAGAGAAATCTAATCTTCTGCAATGTGTTAAAGATCTTGAATCCCTTTCTGCAAAAGCATAAAGTTTCATATTAAACCAGAATAGAATTATTATTAGTGATTCGGGCTAGTTTATTGTAAAAAGTAATAAAAATATTATGAAAAAAGTACCGAAAATGCGTTAAAATTGAACTGTTGTTCACTAACATATTGTATATGATATCAACATAATATTACAAGATTAATAAATGTCACTAAGAAGTAACATTAAATTATGCATTAACAATTTTTTTCATTTCATTATAGTTAAATATAAAATATTTTTTGTATAATTTGTTCCTAGCTATGTTCGATTTATAATAATTTATTTTACATTTTCAAGTTTTAGTTTATGAAATGTAAATATAATAACTTTAAACTATAAATGAATAGAAGTGTAATTAAACATTCTATATAAGATCATGGATACTTCAAGTATATAACATAATGCAACTGTAGCAAACTATATAACATTGATTTTTAAAGATTTTATTTTATTATTTACATTAATGTAATAAACTAATATATTTAGTACATAATTGATAAGCAATTATGTAACCTTTCTCCTTTCTAACCTTAATAACTAAAGGTTTAAAGGAGTCATGAATGTCTACAAACGGATGTTTCAATTATTTCGCCAACTCTTCTAATCTTGCGGTAGTGCAGATTTTATTTAGAAACCACCATTTTCACACAATCGCAAAATATTTTATTGATTTTGACATTGTGAAACAATATCGAATTTCTGTTGAATCTCAGTGATCTGAAATTTTTGTTGATGAACCATCTTGTATGTTTTAAATTGTTTTAGGTTATGTTACAGTAGTGAGGATATGTATTTTGATAAGTGTTAAACGTCATCAAACTTATAATAAGTGTTTAGTTTTATTTTACGTGAAAATGGCCTGGTTGTCAGGTCTCGCTGACAAGGCAGAAAATTTATTAAATAAAATAGATAAAAACACCGCGGCAGTTCTAAATAAAGATAAATATGAATTACCACAATCTCAATTGACACATGTTACGTGGATTCCTTCTGAGCCATGGTAAAATAAATTAACTACTAAAAATTCGAAAATATTAATGCATAATTTAATTTAATTAAAGAGACTTAATTGTATAATAATACAGACATATTACATTTCTTAAAAATAATATGGTGTTTATTGTTCTGTGAAGTTTTTGTTTAAATTGGTTAATTAAAGTATAATAATACATTTGATATATTTCAGTGCTAGCACACAGGATGGTACAATTTTAAAATCTCCTACAGAATCATTGAAGGAATTTCCTTTTGTTTCTTCAACATCAAATCTTTCCTTGTTGTCAACAAATTCAGTAATGTCTAGAGACGAAGAGCTTCTTACTTTTTTAAATACACCTGATTCAAGTCCAAAAAAGAATATAGCAGATGTTTCAATATCACCACCAACACCTTCTTCACTTATGGTTGAACATCCAACAGATACTACAGATTCTGTATCAGAGTTATCAATTCATAGTGGCCACTCAAGTCCCAGTCTTATGCATACATCAGTAGATGTTTCAGATAATCTTAATCATGATGATGTAAATATAAAAACTGATATTCTTTGTAAAAATGAAGTAATGAATTCATTAAATAATGAATTAGGAAATCAAACTTCTGGAATTGCCTTAAATAATGGTAAACATAGACAATCAATATGTTTAATTTATATAGATTAAAAAGTTTAAACAATTTAAACATTTTTTTTAGGACAAAATATTATTAAGGAAAACTCTGATGTTATAGAACAAGAATATGAATATGATACAAAACAAGAAAATATGGAATTAAGTAGATTGATGAATTCATCTCATAATAAATATATACAAAAGTATTTAAAAGAAGTGGAGAGAAATTTAGAAGAAAGAAATGTATTACTAGGAAAACAAGAAACAGATCATCAAAAAGAAATTGTAGTTTTGAATGAAAAATTGCAGTCTCTATATACAGAAAAAGTACAATTATCTAAGCAAGTAATAGAATTACAATCTGCCTTAGAAAGAAGTAGATCAGAATTAAATTCTACTAGATCTGATTTAGAACAGCATAAAGCTAGAGCTTTAAAGACATTGCAAGAAAAAGAAAAGTTAATAGCAGAATTAAGATGTAATGAATCTACAGGAATGGATGACACAACAATTATGGAATTAAATCAATTAAGGTAAATTTAATGCTATATAGTAAATTTTTAATTGAACAGGACGAATATTTCATTCATTTTTGTGATTGTCTATTATATCAAATGGTAGACAAGAACGTGATATGCTTAGAGAAGAAAATCAACAAATTTCTGAGCAACTAAGAATTGTACGTGAAGAATTAATAAATACAGATGTGAAATTGGAAAAAATGAGACAAAAGTCTGCTGAAGCAAATGTCCAAACTCAGGAAATTCTTGCTACTGAAAGACGTAGAAGATTAGACGCGGAAGAAGATGCAAGATTACATTCAGAAGTATATTAATATTTTCTTTGCAGACTTCTTATTTATTGCATGTAATGAAATTGAATAACACTAATTATTATTTTAGGATATAAGATCATTAAAAGACGAATTAATTCGTCAACGTAGTAATTATACTACGCAATTACAAAAAAGTAATTCTGAAATTGCTAGGCTTAGGATGCAATTATCTGCAACATCAACACCGAGTAGTGAAGTAGAATCTAGATTAACATCTCTCACACAAACACTGGTTTCAAAGCAGCAAGCACTAGAAAGTTTAACAACTGAAAGAAACGCTTTAAGGTTACAATTGGAAAAAATAGAAGTGAGATAATGTTTTTAAAATATTAAATAACATTGAATATAAGAAAGCTATTAATGTCTGTATTTTATATTTTCTTTTCTGTAGCATGAATTCAGAAACAGCCGACGTAATGTTCCGTATAATAGTATAAATGATACAGACGATGCTAAAGCTCAAGTACCGACATTTTTTATGGAAACTCCGTTTGATACTGGAGTTACTAGAAGAGTTAAAAGAGCTTATTCTTCATTGGATGCTATTAGTATTCGTACAGGTGTATTTTTAAGAAGATATCCTCTTGCAAGGATTATGGTACTGATTTATATGGTAAGTATAATATATTAATTTAAATTGATATTTTCTAATATGTTTCAAAGTATTTGTATTTATGTGAAGAAATATTTTGATGTTTCTAAAAAATATGTTTATTATTATTACAAACATAAGTTTTATGTTTATTATAATTTTTTACAGGCATTACTTCAATTTTGGGTTCTTGTAGTTCTTCTATCACAATCTCCAGAAGCACATTAATAATATTTGCAATACATGGAGTAGAATTTTTTTGTAAATACGACATTGGAATGGTGCATATTCAATACTGTTAAATTACTAACTACATTTGTAGCATTTAAATATTTCTTTTTTAAACCAGTACATGGTGCATTATATGACATACGAAAATTTACTTTCTAGATGTATAAGCGAATTTTTTCAAACTGTTAGGTCCACTAAATTTGAGTTGTTTTGGGAAGGATGTAAACCTTTTCTTTCACTTTATTTTTCACAAAAGCAAAAATATCATAATTGCAATGTTATCAGTTATTAACTAATGCAGGATCTTCGTTCAACGATTGGACAATTGTGAACAATTTCAACGAATGATTGTTTTCAAGACTCAAAAGTTAAAAATCAAACTGGAGTGTATGGCGTTAAATTGTCTAGTTTATAATGTCAAATTGCTGACTCTAAATCTCAGCACTATTTTGCATATTCAACAATCGCGACAGACTGCATTTAAATAGCACAGTTTCAATAACGTTTGCAGTATCCATATGTATACCATGTTGGTCAATGTAGTATATCTCTTTGTAAAAAACTGTCGTTAATATGAGACAGAATCTCTACATTTGCAATGAATAATTGATAAAGTATACTTATTTATTCAAATCACCATTTATTTTTTCACTATACAGAAGAATAGATACAATACTATAAAGGTAATGAATATAATGTATCTAACTCAATTTATCCTAAAGAAATAAATAAATAAATAATTAATTGTATTATAATTTTTCAGTATCAAACGCTTAAAAAGAGATAAATACTTAATTATTTAAGTTGAAGCGAGTAATGTTACATGTAAAGACAGAATTTTATTATAATTGTAAATAATTGTTAAGAATATTATAATGAGCAATAACGTTTAAATAACGAAAGCCATTTAAGTCGGTAATTTAACACTAAACTTGTAAGTTTATTAGTTAGTTTTTGCATGCTAATTGTAAATTAATAAAATTTTCATTGATAGCAATTTAAATAAACTACTTAACCAAATGGATAGAGGCCCATTCTGTACAAGTTAACATCGTTAATATTATGAAATCGAACGTAGTTACGATCTTATATTTTTGTAAAGTATATTTAAAAGAATAATTTACCAAAAAATTTTTGAGGTTGAGATCATTCCAATGCATACCTAATAATTTATTAATAATCTTAGAATTTAGTTTTAAATGTGTTTTACATTTATCATTACAAAAAGCGGAAATACTTAAGTGTATTTACTAACCAATTATCGTTATTCAGTATCTTTACATTTTTTTCATTATGATTGTTAACATTTGATTTGGTTGATTCTTACTGCTACGTATAATTACGCTATAATAAACAAAAAGTTTCTGATATGCTACGAGAAAAACAGAGGCGTGCAAACAAATTAATTCATTTGTACATTTAACTTTTTATACACGTTTGATAAATATGATTAGAGCTACTTTATGACTTGGTTTATTTATTGCATTTACGTGACCTACTATATTGTTTAAACAATTTCAAAATATTAATAGAAGAATGCACAGCTTCTTTTGTCGATTACTGTAATGTTTAGTCTCACGCCTCTGTCCAAAGATGTGAAATTATTACTAGATTGTTGTCGATGACACTAATTCAAAATTTTTACATTACCCTATAGAATTACAATTTACGTCTATGGACATACACGATTTTTTTTCAAATGCTTTCTCAGAAACACTGTACGAAGATTCGTTCGCTGATCGAATTTATGTGTAATAATTCGAATAATACTTAAGCAGAATATATTACAACTATGTATATTGCTCTAATAACCGGGATACAGTGTACATGTTTGTATTCCTTAGGCACGATTTTTGCGATTAATTAATTTGCTCAAGCGATGATTGATAGTTAATTCGAATAGAGAAGAATAAACCAAATTATGACGAAGTTTTTTTTTTCTATTGTAAATATGGTTGAAATGTTGAAATACACAGGAGTATTTAGGTTTAACTGTTAGCCGACATTCAGATTCAGTTTGATAAAATATTTTTTCATTCAATAAACTTATCGAACATTTGAATGTATAAAAATTTCTAAAATTCTGCATTTGAAAAAAGGTGCAGACAGCAAACTTTGCAGATGAGTTTAAGAAAAAATTGAATTTAGTCTACATTGGATATTCTGCAAAGAAATACACCTGTGGTAGGATACTCTGGATATTTCTGCTACAAATTGTTCTATCCTCTTGTTATTTTTAAGCGATTGATTTTCATCGATTCCGTTCGAAGAAGCAGTCTATGTACAAAATCGGAAGCGTACAATACGTATTATCGAATAACGAATACGAGAACATACGTGTATTTACTTGAACAGTTAGGCTAACCCGCTAACTGGCAAACTTAGCCGTCGTTACGGCTCTTATTCTTGCTCTCTAACGAGAAGTTTTGATCCTGTTCAAGCTCAGTGAGCGGATTTATCCTGTTTCGAGATTCATTGGAAACTGTTTCGAACTCGAAGACTATTGCATGTTCAACGACATCATCCTCGATGAACGTACTCGCTTGTTTAATTCAAAAATAACAGAGCTCTGTATTGTGAAAGAAAATGCGAAGAAGTTTGACCAAGAACAAGGAACTTTCAACGAAGTACCCATTTTTGAACATCTTGAGAGGTTAAAATTGATAGCCATCACGCTTCAGGGAAAATCAAAGAAAATCAACAGAAGAGGATGGAACTGATATTCTCATAAATTTTGTTTGTGATTCTTTAACATTTTTAACATTTTCAAATTGTTCACGAAATGCATCCTAATAGTCGAAGAATTCACGGAATATCACCGTGCGTGGAAAGTAAGAGGAACCAGAATTTACATACTCTCGTGTTACTGTTTTAACAATACTAATAAGTAGATTTCAGCGAGAGAACTAAAGGTAACGTTTCATAGGAAAATGTGACGAGAAGATAATGCTTATGACAATACATGAAATACGCTGAAACAAGGAATCTAAGTCGAAAGGATTTATTATCACATATATATTTATGTTATATATTTAACTCAGTACGAGATTTTGTAAACTATATTCCCAAAATACTATGATTATCATACGATCACAAGTTATTTTACAGATCAACGGGATCAACATTGCTTTTAGATTCGGTTCATTTTACAAAATATGCATATTATACATATGTATATATTCACATACACATATATATACTCATCATTCGCGATCGATAAGCACAGAGGTTCACTGTTTAAAAATTACTCGTCAAACCTCTTCGAAGAAGGTACGCTAAGCGTTGCTTTTTCTTGCTTTTTAATCATGATTTTTGCATTTGGAAAAAGATTGAAATTTATACAACACGTCGATTAATGTATATTCGTATCTTCAGATTGTGCTTGTTATTTTATAAACGAAATATAGAATAAGAAATATTTCTTTTTAATTTTATCAATGTTTATGGTGTTTCTTAACCTAAACACTTCTCGATTACTCAGTTTTTAAAAAAATAATATTAGCTATAGCAATCTTCTACTTTTTCATCTGTACCTATTATCATCCGTGTAATATTAATTTGAATGGGCCAAAAGTAACGTTCATTTTGCAATGTACAATCAATCTGCGAATACCTTTTTTTTCCTTCACTGTCATATATATTCCAATCGAATATTAATTTCTCAAAGAAAGGAGTTAATTCTATACAATGCGTTCGTAGATCTCTTAAAAATATATGCGTCGATCGAAAACGTTCGATTGTTTTCAGACAACGTTGCCACTTTGTTGTAAAATGGTACGCTACTTCTAATTCTGTTAATCGCGAGAAATTGTTGTATCGCAGAACGAGAGAAAGAGGCGAAGTTACACATGCGAATACAACTTTCACAGCCACCAATTTTGCAGGGTATTTTTTTCTTCTTTTCTAATTCTAATCGATTTCAGTTCTAATACAGGTTCGAGTAAGCAAGCCTCGCGCTTGAAACTCAGAGTTTAAAGCCCAGTACGAAGCAATCCTACAGTATCATCGTTGGAAAAGTCTTTTTTAGCAATACTCTAATATTTAGGGGATCGTCGAAAATATTAAAATTTAATTTTACTTTTAATTTTACGTCGTAGTATGTTACAAGTTACATTGTTCTGATACCGTTATAAATTTTTTACAATCCTTTAAGTAGTTATTTCGTCGAGCTGTAAGCTCTTTCAATTAGTAAAACTGTGGCTGAAAGCTTTTTCATTGTCATTATCGTAAACGTTCGAACCAATTTAGGCTCTTATAATTATAAATTTTGTTTCTTTGCAGTTAAATAGTAAATGTGAATAGATAAAGGAAAAGTCGATAATAGAGTTTTCATCGATAATGTAGGTTTCTCTATATCTATTATGCAAGCATTAAACGATGCAGAGTCTATAAACTATCGATTTGCTTGCTCGAACTTTAAAAATAAGTCAAAATTCTCGGAGAACATGGTGATCTTTATCTAACAAAATAATTTCTTTCGAGTTCGTTCTAATATATGTATGCACATTACGTACAATTTTACACGATCGCTTCTTGATTTACAAATAGTTTATTTCTTAAAGTTTCGCGTATAAATTTAAATCTGTACTAATAAGTAGTCTTCGTTAGTAAGTAGAATTTTTAATAAATGTGAGATTCGGTGGATGAAATTAAATATTTTCCATTGACGTCTATCCTCTCTTTCCATTTCGCATATAAATTATTATTCATACAATAAATAATTCGAAAATCAAATTTTACAATATCACTTACTATAAGTTAATAAATACGCAGAATTACTTCGATGGCCATAAACAACACAGAAAATAATGTTTCACTTTAATGAATTTAAATATTGTAGAAATTTGTAATATCGAAAAATTTCAAATGAAAACTGAAAACTCGCAAATAATTTAAATGGCTCGTTTGAAATCGTTAACGAATTTTTTTCAAACTTTTAAAACAGTATCCTGAGAGATTGAACATTTCAATTTCATCCAGAGATCATCTCAATCTTCTTTTTTATCACCATCGGCAAAACTTTCGTTCCATTTTGTCCTATCAAGAAGCGATCGCCTGATTCTTCGACTCTTGAATAACGATCAAGCGACTCGAACTGCATCGACGTTTCGTTCCGTTCGACTTCGCTTTTCAGTTACCTCTGCCTCTTTGCACACGGACTTCTGAACATTACGATTCAGCGTCGCAGGACTGTTCGGAATCATGTTCGCTGTTACCGCACGACGACGTGACGTCGTTCGACGAGGAATTTGTCGAGTCCGGGGTGAGTGGAGTCGATGGTCTCGCGACAATTTTCTCCGTCGATGAGGACACATCCGCATCTTTGCAGTCTGTCGCGTTCAATCTTTGCTGCATACACTTGTTCTCGGGATTGTTCAGTACCGAGTGAATAAAGTCCCGAGTCTCCGCGCGTAAAGCATTCACTCTTTCTTGAAGTATGTTGTTCCGTCGGATCAGAGCCATCGTACGCACAACGATATCCAGGAGACCTGCGAATTTGAATAATATCCTCTAGAATATTTCGATGGCGATAAAAGAGTTTCGGAAATTGAATATAAAATTATATAAAAGTAACAATTATAAGAACAAGTGAAACGAGAGAAAGATGTTTTATTAATGAAACTTCAGCAGTTTTTAGAATAAGAGTTAATCGATTTATATAGTTTGAAATGAAATGAACGAATAGAAATGAAAAAAATATTCTCATTCACGATGTTTCTATGGAACCAGTTAATTTATATACTCGTTGTTATTTCATAATATAAAATGCATAAAGTGTGTTAATTATTGTTTCGGTACACATTATAGAATCTCAAGTAATTCTTCAGATAAACCATCGAAATGAAATCAATTTCTTTCTACGTTAAAATTTATTCGATGTTTAACAACAGGTTTACGGACATTTCTTATATACCTATATCTACACATTTTTAATTTTTAAGTTTGCTAAATTTGGCACATTTTCTTGAAAAAACAACTTACTTTATTTAAAAACAGCATATTATACACTATTAACTTAGAAATGAAAATATGTGATATTATATATTTATATAAAATTTATAATAAGCAGAAGTGGTAGGAGAGAAATGTAAAGGATTGTAATATCCCTCGTGAAATTCGAAATAACGCGTCCTCTAAACCTATTTAGTGTTAAATTAGAACTCGTCTACATAATTTACACAAAAACCACACCTTTTCGTCTCGCTAGAAACACCTTCCAGTGTTCCTCTATATCCGAGGAAACTCTAGCAGAAATGTTCGGAGAGGAAGAGCTAACAATGGTCGGGGCGCAGGAGTGATTTGGATACTCCGGTTCCCAAAGAGGGCTTTCCGGTGGCGTTAGAGATGCTCCGTCGCGGGAGGACGCGCTCGTTTCCAGTCGCCTTAATTCTAGCCTCTGTTGCTTCGCCACTGTCCCATTGTGGACCCTTTGTCTTCGTCGCGAACACGGGATCGTGGGTTTTCTTACGGCTGGCAACTCCGACAGGTAAACAGTCGGAGCCATTTTACGACGAGATATCTGCAAGCTGAAGGGAAAAAGGCAGGATTTAATTTCTCGTCGTTTTAATCATAGAAGAGGCTTTTTATTGTCGGTGGCTGAGAATTACCGAGATGCTTGAAAGGTAGCAAGAAAATTGCAGTGGTTTTGTGTATTTTTATACTAAATAAAATTTCTTCTCTTTGTACATTTGCAGAGATGAATCAGTTTTATTTGTACAGGACTTTGGTGGAGATAGTGGTTTTACCGAAAGTGAGTGTTTTAAGTTAAATAATTGAATGACATTGGAGGAAGGATAATAAAGATTGCATATTTTGACAAATATGTAAGTTTTAGGTTTCTAAGTTTCATTAATAAATAATACAATTTTGTCGTTTATATTTACCATAGAATAATACTTAAACATGAACTAGTTTTTAGAAAATAAACTTAAATTGACCATTTAAACAAGTACTAAAAAACTTAAATTAAACAGAAATTATATCTTATATACTAAAATTTATTATTCGTAAGTGACATTTAAAGCACCTGTAATCCTAAAAAAATTATCTCGTCAAAAAAGCACCTATTCTTCTTGTTCAGTGCGGTATTCTTTTGTTTGTAATTCTTCCGCAACAATGAGAACGAGAATTACGTGTTTTTTTTTTTCTTTTTTGTTGTCAAGTAGCTTTTGCACATTTGCGACAACTGTGTCATCAATGAATACGTTCAAACTTTTCCATCATTATTCAGTGAATAATATGATTTCTATGAACGGAGGACGCGATCAATCCATTCATGAGAATGCCCGTTTCCGTTAACTACGTTTGTACGCTACACAAGCGGGAGTCTATCGACCGTGGTAATTACCCTGTCAGCGATATGTAATGATACCAGCCATCTGCGTAATTTGACGAACGGAGAACAATCGATGACCCACATACGCATCAGCGATGCGCTTTGCTGCGTGAAAGTGCTTTCGTCAACGATTGATCCACGTGACTTACGTGATAGACCCGTTGAAGAATTATTAAATTAAAGCTGGAGATTTGAATAGGGATTTGAAGCACGTTCAATGATAGTTAAGAAAAAAAAGAAACGACTTTTAGCTCTTCCCTGGCAGTATCCAGTCACACTTGCGGTATGAAATCTATGTCAATTGTAATAAATATAAGTATTTCTTAAACAGCAAAGTTTTACTTTACTTTTACTTTATAGTTTATACACATTAGACTTTTAGCTCTTCCCTTGCAATATCCAGTCACATTTGTATTATGAGTGCATCAATTTTAATAAATATAAACATATTTAAAATAACAAAGTTTTACTTTTATTCCGATTTCAGTTTTACTTTACTTTTACTCTATACTTTTAGCTCATCCCTTACAATGTCCAGTCACATTTGCAGTAAAAAAATATACAAATTGCAAGAAATACAAACGTACCTTAAACAACAAAGATTTACTTCAATTCTGAGTTCAATTTTAATATATAAGATCCGGTATCGAACATAAATGGTAGCGTACAGTATTTTCGCGATTTTCGTTAATCACAGTTTTAGAAACGAACAAGTAATTCCATTATCTACGTATAGTTGTAAAGAAAGAATTGCAAGCTAAGAGAAGAATATCTTCTCTAGTAAGTTGAAGTTCTAGAAATATACATTTGTACAGTGAAATATTTATAATATGTACATATATGTTCAAGAGAAAACGTAAGATAACATCAATTAGAGTATGCTTCAGACCCTGATCCGAAGTTACGGTCTGTGATTGAATCACAAAACTGCATCGGTAAAATGCAATTTTTGTTAACCTCTTAACACGAACACACGATTTGTGCGTTTCATACACAATTGACATTAAGATCGAGCCAGTGTCGTGCGCTTGAACATCGTTCCTTTTTAATTATACGTATTTGTAATACGAAACATTTTTCCCTAGAAAGATTAATGTAACAGCGTTAATAAACAATTCAAGGCTCGAGCGAGATAAACTCGTTAGGAGATTATGCGTGGAATAGTTTAGCGCCGGGTCGATCATTGGCATGGAAACATCGTTTCACTTTGGTAACCGGGGGAATTATTTATAAACGAAGGACCGAGGAGACGAGACTTTCACTTGTTATAAATGTCTAATAATATTGGCACGAGCGGAGCCCGGTGTCTTGCACCTTGACCACCAGAGACACGTGCACATCTGCGGTACTCTACTCGATGTGAAGTATTTTAATAGTGGGCTTCCTGTGCACGTATGTGAAATATAAAAAAAAAAAGAAAATAAAACAGCAAGTAAACGTGATAAAGAGTGAAGTATTGCGTGGATCATCGCGTTGCGCGTGTTTACACGCCGCTGTTATAATTAGTCGAGTGAATTTGCTGTTATTTCTAACCGCTAATGACAATTTCTCTAATGCTTATTTCTTTCGATATTATTTTATTTTCTCGCTTGAACGGAATTTTAAATTCGTAATTCTTCTAATTCTTGAAAAAGGTAGAAGAAATATATCGAATTATGCAATTATCAAAAATAACCGATACTGCAGTTTATTTTTTATAATTATTGTCTTTTGTTTTTTTTTTTTTTACATTCGATACAAAAGTGTTACTTTGAACAACTTCTCTTTTTATTGTCGTTTTCGCAACAAAGAGCACTTCAATTCTCATTTCCCAACTGTCGATTAGAAAAAAGGGGATAAATCGTCCACAGTACGTCAGTTAATTTGAAAAATGAATCTATCCTCAATACTGGGATAATCAATGAGATCGAAATGATTGATAAGCAAGTTTGTGAAATAAAGTTTTCTTTTACTGTGTAGTAGGTACTATCATCTGCAACTTTTTTGCTCGAGTTTAAACGCTTTCTTAAAATAATTAAAAATGATTGTTTATAAAATATGAAATGTAATGTACTGGGTTGGAACGACAGTTTGTAGGCGTTTTTTAAGTGAAATTCAAAGACAATGTTTAGATATTTGGATATTATTCAACCATACTATGCAATTTTGTTCTACTATCTTTCGTCATCTTTGAAGCAGTTTCGTGATTTCGTCCTGACAGAACTTGGCATCTTTCTGGGCGATGAACTGGGTGTCCACCAGGTGGTTTCATAAATGTACGAACTTTTCTTCCAACCCAATATATACA